GAAACTTCTTGCTGTAGTCTTACCATTATGTGAAGTTGGAAGGGTTTTGTTTGTTTTTTTATAAGTGTTAGGCCGTTTATATTCTCTTCTTAAGTTGTTTGTAATTTTTATCCTCATGATGTTACTGATTAGTGGGTAACCGAAAATGTTCTCTCTGTAGGGTAAGCCACTCATTCTACTAAAAATTTTTCTGGGAAAATTTGTCTGTCTTAAAGTCCTTCAGGTTCTCTCTGTTCTATATTGCAGCCCTGCAGAAATTTGACCTTAATGTAGTCCTCTGTCCAAAACTCTATTGTTCTTCTTCGTTTATGGAATTGTTGAGAGATGTGAGACCAGGGGCTCCACTTGAGAAGTTTCTATCCAGGTGGGTTTCAAATCAAGTCTCTCTCTTGCAGCTCAACATATTAGTTGAGAAAGCTGGAAAAGTTTTCCCTTGCTTGTAGCCCTCTGTACAAAACTTTTTTATCATTTCTTATTTGGTATTTCATTTCTTATTGGCAGAGAGGATGACCCTACAGCCATGAAGGCAAGGGTCCCCAAATGGAGGGATGTTTCCTCAGAGAAGTTTCAGGACCTCTCTCCCCACAAGTACCTGAAAGTGCTGGCTCCTGGGATGACCCCATAGTTGTGGAGGCTATGATTTCTAAAAGTACTCTTAAGTATTTTGAAGAGGTGCCTGATAGCAAGCAGACTTTCTCAGTGCAATATGTCTCTGATTGTGATTGAAGCCCATTTGGACCTAGCCATGGCTGGCTGGCTGGGGATATGTTGACCAAAACTTTACCAGATTAAGATGCTTCATTTTGTGAGCTAGTGTTAATTACTGCAACCTGATGGTTTACCCTGGACTAGACCTTTGTTTATAGATGTGATGTTCAAAATTTCAACAGTAATAGAAGATTTTTCTGAGAAAAAGACATGCATGTTTCCTCAGAGTACTAGTTTGATAGGGTGGGGAAAATCAGAAACTGACTAAATTGAAAATGGATGGATGAAGACAAAAGGAATGAAGGGATTAAGACATAAAGAGTGACTTTACAGAGTTTCACGAATATAGATGATGGTAAGGCACGTTGCCAGGAGGGACAGGTCCTTAGAAAAGGACATCATAATCAGAAAGGGAGGAGTGACAATGCAGGAGAGGAAGACCCCAGATGAGATAGATTGATACAGTAACTGGGGAAATCGGAGTATGTGTGTTGGAGTCAGTGAGACTGGCTCAGGATAGGACAGGCTTTGGAGTTTCTGTGCATGTGGCTGTTATGAGACATAGGTGAATTGATGGGACATAACAAGGAGAAAGTTGATTTTTCAGATGACAGACAATGGCTAGAAAAGTGAAGTGGTCCAGGCTGTGCCAAGAAATCTGGACAGCAAACCTGGCCAAATGACTGTAAGATATTTCTGTTTATTTCCATTCTTAAGAATTCTATTAGAATGTAGAAATTATCACACACTATCATTAATATCACATTGTTGTTGTTATTTGCTGTCGAGTCGCTTGCGACTCATAGCGACCCTATGTACAACAGCCCTAAACCCTGCTCTATCCTGTGCCAATCGCATTGCCTCTGACACACGCATCCCAATTGCCTCAGTCACTGAATCAATCCACCTCATAGAGGGTCTTCCCCTCCTACACTGTCCCTCCACCCTCCCAAGCATGATGTCCCTCTCCAAGGACCTGTCCCTCCTTACAACATGTCCAAAGTATGTCAGACGAAGCCCCGAATCCTTGCCTCCAAGGAGCAGCCTGGCTTAACCCTCTCTAGGATGAATCTCTTTGTTTTCTTGGCAGTCCGTGGTATATTCAATACTCTTCTCCAGCACCACAGCTCAAAGGCGTCAATTCTCCTTCTATCCTCCCTAGTCATTGTCCAACTATCTGATGCATAACAAGTGATTGCAAAGACCATAGCCTGTATCAGATGCACCTTAGTCTCCAGAGTGACACCATCGCTCTTCAGTACCCTGGAGAGGTCCCTAACAGCAGACTTTCCAAATGTAATACGTTTTTTTATTTTCTGGTTGCTGGTGCCAAGAAGTTGTACATAGTGTTTTCAGAAGCCTGCTAGTTCAGAAGTGGATGGCCAATCCTTCTTCTTAGTCTGTCTTAATCTGAATGTTCATATTTAGAGGAGTATCTGACAGACAAGCAATTGATAGAGAAGTGAAAGATAAATCCCTCATTGTGGAGTTAACTATCAGTTACAGTGTTGTCCTTGCCCTTGACCCAGTGTCTTGACCCAGTTATTCCCCAGCTCCACCCTCCACCAGAATACCCCTTCACTTCTACCGAATCCCTTCAGCATTTATCTTCCATATCACATACAAGCAAAATATTGGTGTGAATCATCTCAAAATGGCTCAAACAATACATTGACAGAGAATTATCAGAAATGCAAGCTGGATTTAAAAGAGGCCATCGTACCAAGAATATCACTGCTGGTGTCAAATGGATCTAGGCTGAAAGCAGAGAGTACCAGAAAGATGTCTATTTGTATTTTATGGACTATGAAAAGGCATTTTGCTGTGTGGATCACAACAAATTATAGCTAAAATTGAGAATGAAATTCATGGTTGTGCTCATAATGAACCTATACCTAGGCCAAGAAAGTATCATCTGAACAGAACAAGGGAAAATGTATGGTTCAGAATCAAGTGCATGAGGAATGTATTATTTCCTCAAACCTTTCAATTCAAGAAGCTAGATTTTTATGAAGAATGTAGCATCAGTATCAGAGGAAGACTCACTGGTAACCTAAGTCTTGCAGATGACATAAACTTGTTCTCCAAAAGTGAGGAGGACCTGAAGCAAGTTCTTGCTGCAGAAGAACAAGTCTGAAATCTTCAATATGGATTCTATTTCAACATCATGAAAACAAAAGTCCTCACCATTAGGCCAACAGGGGATATCATGATAGATAGAGACTAAACTGAAATAGTTAATGATTTCATTTTATGTGGACCCACAATCAACACCCTTACCACCAACAGTCAGCAACTCAAAAGATGAGTTGTACTGGCAAAATCTGATGTTAAGGACCTCTTCAGTGTGTTAAAGAGAAATGATGCCATCAGTCTAAAGACTAAGATGCATTTGATTGAAGCCATGATTTTCTCAATTGCATGCTATGCATCTAAAAGCTGGATAACAACTAAGGATGACAGAAGAATCAATACGTTTGCATTGAGGGGCTAGAGAAGAGTACTGAACATTCCATGGGCTGCCAACAGAATAAACAATCCTTGAAGGCAAGGGTGGTGAAACTCCATCTCAATACTTTGGGCATGTTGCCAGGAGAGGCCAGGCCTTGGAAAAGGACATCATGCTTAGAAGGGTAGCAAGTTAGCACAAGAGAGGAAGACCCTGAATGAGATGGATTGATACAGTGATTTGGTCAATGGGATCACTGATGTCAGAGATGGTTAGGTTGGCTTAGGATAGCACAAGGTTCAGAGCAATGGCTCATAAGGTTGCTGTGAGTAGTACTGGACTTGATGGCACATAACAACTAATTAAAAGCTCTCAAATTAGTTACAAAGATGTATCATTACCATTAGCAAGACTGTACTATTGTGTATATTAATAAACACACAATCCAATATATTATTGGTCAATCTTAGTATTTAATGACTATTTATCAAATGACAATTTGGCAGTAAAAATCACATTTCCAAGAGGCATCATATATACATATACATATATATATAAACAAATCAATCTTTATTCATTCATTTTGCCTTTCCATGTCTCCTGGTAGCTTGCTAAGAATCCATGCCTTCAGTTTCTCCAGCTCAGTTTTGCTCATGTCATGGTGGACGCCTGGGAAGCTATGAAATTGTGTGCTCACTCCTAGAGATTGTAACACCGAGTTTGTCTCTTCAGCCCAAGAATAAAGAACTAGCTCATCCGCAGTCCCATGACACTGAAATAATTCAGGAAGCACACCATCAGTTTTCTGAAGAGCCTAGACAAAAAGATATAACAATGAAAAACTTAAAAAAAATATTTTTTAAAAAATATTTCTGGGAACATAGAGAGGGCCAAAATATTCCCATTTTACCAAAAGTTCAATGGCTGAGGGGGAAAAAAGCAGTAGTAGCTATAACTACTTCTATTTTTAATACAAAGTATTTGTTTTTTATCCTTAATCCTTTCCTTAACAGTATATCAATATGAAGTATTTCCATTAACAACCAGCTGAACTTAATTAATATGACTCATTTACCCATGGAATCTCAAGAATATTCCACGAATCAATGTTTACTTATTATGAAGTTTTTATTTTCAATGTATTTATGTGTCACATTTTCTTGGTTTTGGTTTTATTGTTGTTGGTTTTTCTTTATTTCTAAATTTGGTACTTACCTGGTAAACAGCAGATGTTTTATTCAGAAAACTGGAAAGAGCAAATACTCCCGCCACATCCTGATGCTTTCTATATGCTAAATGCATTGCCATGCATCCTCCCATAGAAAATCCTCCTAGAAGAAACAAACTGTTATCAAAAAAAGTAGAATAAGTACATACAACAGCAATTTAGGACAGTGACAAAAATGACTAAAGGCTTCACTACTAACTGAAAGGCTGGGGTTTTCAATCTGCTCAGAGGTACTACAGAGAAAAACACAGGCAATCCAGTTTGAAAAAATATAGTCATATTTTTATCTCTATAGTAAGAGTTGTGTTGCCAACCCAAAGCAGGTGGTTTGAATCCACCAGCAACTCTGAAGAAGAAAATATGGGTAATCTTTTCCCACGTGATTTAGTCTCTGAAAACTTGCTGGAGAGTCAACTATGAACCAGCTACCATTTGACTGCAATGAGATGTGGTTTTTTAAAACATACACTTACCAAAAAGAACTGCCTGACACAGACAAATTTCAGGAAACAATTTATAAGCAAGAAGCAATGGTGATGAAGGATGAAGCTCAAGCTGCTCTGAAGGAATTGGCAAAAAAAATTCTAGGAATTGATGCAACACCAATCGACATATTTCTACAGATAGATGCTGCCTTGGATGTGCTCACCAAGTTGTGCAAATAAATATGGAGGATAACTACTTGGTCAACTGACTGGAAGAGATCCATACTTGTTCCCATTCCAAAAAAGAATGACCCCTGACAGAGTGTGGAAATTATCAAACAATATCAATGATATCACATGCAAGCAAAATTTTGCTTAAGTTTATTTAAAATCAACTAGAACATTGACAGAGAGTTGCCAGTAATACAAGCTGGATTTAAAAGAGGTTGTGGCACCAGAGACTATCATCAATGTCACATGGATCTTGGCTGAAAGCAAAGAATACCAGAGGAATGCCTGTGTCACATTGACTATGCAAAGGTATTTTACTATGTGGATCACAACAAATTGTGGCTAACCTTAAACAGAATGAGAATTCCCGAACACATGATTGTGCTCATGTGAAACCTATACTCAGACCAGGAAGCAGGCATCAGAACTGAACAAGAAAACACAGCATGGCTCAAAATCAGGAACAGATCATTAGGGAGGCTGGCCCTTTAGGGGAGGAAATGTGGCATCAGAATTGGAGGAAGACTCATTAACTACCTACGTTATGCAGAAGACACAACCTTGCTCACAGAAACTGAGGAGGACCTAACACAGTAGAAGGTTTGCTGTACAAAGTCAAGAACTTCAATATGGATTGAAGCTCAACATCAAGAAGACAAAGATTCTCACCACTGGGTCAATTGGCAGCACCATGACAGATGGAGAAGAGATCAACACTTTTGGCACCATCAGTCAGGAGATCAAAAGATGAATTGCTCTGGGGAAAGCTACTGTCAGAAACATCTCCAAAGTGCTAAAGAGCAAATATGTCTTTCTGAAGACGAATGTGTGCCTGATCCAGGTCACAGTCTTCACAATTACATTCTATCAAAGAGCTGGACATTGACTGGAATTGACAGAAAAATTACTGATGCCTTTGATGTGTGGTGCTGGAGAAGAGTACTGAATGTTCCATGGACTGACAAGAGAAAAAACAAGTCCATCCGAGAGAAGTTGAAACCAAGCTGCTCTTTGGAGTCAAGGATTTTGAAGCAGTGTCTCACATACTTTGGGCATGTGGCCAAGAGCGACCAGTCCCTGGAGAAAGAGTGAAGTGACAGCAAAGGAGAAGACTCCTGATGAGATGGATTGACACAGTAACTAGGATAATGGGGTAGGTGTGTCAGAGACAGGGAGATTGGCTCAAGATAGAGCAGAGTTCAGAGATACTGTACATACAGTCACTATGAGCCGCAGGTACCTCGAGGACACATAACAATAAAAATATATTAAGACTTTTTAAAGAATTATAGTGCTAAAAACAAGTTTAGTCTATTTGAGGTGTGAAAACTATGTCTAACAGTTGTGTCACCACTGGTAAAAAGTGATAGAACGATCTAGAACTAGGCAAAAAATCATATTTGTCAAGTAAAAAAAAACAAAAACCAAAAACTAATCACAATTCAAAATGTAAGCCAAAGTACAAGTGTTATTTATCCAAGCTTCTCATGTCTACTTATGTTTTATTTATACTTGCAGGAGTCCTCACACTGCAGCCACAATTATTAACATGTACTTGTTGTCTTACTTGTCAAGTTGTGAATTCCTTCAGGAGTTATGTTTCTAATGTTTTCCATAAAATAAATGCTTAGTGATAGTTGCATTAGAAAGGATCATCAAACATTTGGTGGGATAGTTAAATTATTTTTGGATTATATTATTATTTTTCAAATGGACTTATAATGGTCAACACTCTTGGCACCAGCAGCCAGGAAATAATAATAATAAAAAAAAAAAGTATTGCACTGGTTTTGTAGGAGAGAGAGGGCAATTTCTACTCTTTAAGATTTATAGCCTCAGAAAACTGAACGAGGGTCAGTATACATCAGAATCAACTGTATGGTAGAGAATGTTTTTATTTTCTAATTTAGATAGATAAGAGGGAACAGTATGTCATTGAAAATGTGATTAGTGTGACTGAGGAAACATAATTTTAATACTACTTAATTTTAATACTTAAATCAGACAGGTACAACGGCGACCATAACAAACAAATTTCTATACCATTCAAACTATCTCAATAATGACAATGATGAAAAAATATCTTCATTAGAAGATTAGTGAACACAAATTTTAAAAATTATTTTAAAAGCATAACTTAAAAAAATTATTAATTTAAAAAAAAAGAAGTAATTATGAATTTCCCTTTTCACTCAATGTTTCCTAATCAGGTGACCTACTAATTTCTGTGGCTTTATAGTCACTAATGATATCGATCTAACTCAGTAAAATGGGAAACTTTTCCCCACAAAATAAAATGTCCTTCCAAATGTACATAAAAGTATTCTGCAAACACTGAAACTCTTGTTGGATTTATATAATTCAGAGCAAAGGAAAACGCCTTCATTGAAATCTTAAAATTCAATCAAAAACCTTTACTTAGCTATAATCTGGTGAGGTAATCTGCAGTTCTGCACCTGCTGTCTTTGACAATAACATCATCTTTAGCATTGTGAGAAAAGAGGCTTACTTTTTACTATGAAAAGGGGCTTTATTCCTAATAAATAAATGTATTGACACAAGGTACCAGTTATTCAATTCTATCTTCTGCTTTTTTGTGGTGATAATACCGTCAAGTCAGAATAGACCCACAGCTGA